ACCCTAGACCTCTCTTTCTCTCAAATTTTCACCCAAATTTCTGAGAAAATGAAGGTTGTCGGAGCAAATGTTCATTTCCAGAAGTTAGAGGCCAAGTGCTCTTCATCGACATTCTTCCAAAGCTATATGGAGATGATAGGCGCTCAAGAACTCTCCGAATTTCTTCAAATGGAGATTCGCCTCAAATTCGAGGAAGAAGCTCTTGAATTCTACAGGAATGGAGAAGTCAAGACTGCTCATTCAAAGAAGGACCCACAGAGGACGTTTCCAGTTATCAAGTCCACTGTAAGGGGTACAAAGGTGAAGCTTTCGCAAAAGAAATTGGGAGAAAAGCTTCGCCTTCCCAATTCTGGAGTTGAAGTTGGAAAACTTCCAGTCAAAAATCTGGACTGGAACATCATTGGAATCTTTGGGCAAATTCCGTCTGGCCCAGCGAAGAAAGCAGATCTAAACAACGATTACAAGTTGATTTTGGAATTGGTCATCGCTTGCCTCGAATGTGGAAGTGGAGGTCACGCCGATGACATCACCCAGGAGAGAGCCTTCATCATCAACGCTCTCATTACCAAAACTAAGGTAAACTGGGCTGCACAATTTTTCAATTCCATCTCAAAGCATTTGGGAAAGCCCAACCAGAAATATCTCTGTCAAGGACTATACCTTGGACATATTTTGGAGTCTATGGGTATTGCTTCTAAAGGAAAGAAGTATGGAGAAAGATACTGGTTATACTATCTGTCTTCAAAAGGAGAAAACAGAGCCAGTGCTAGTGCCACTACAGAAGAAAGCTCATTAGATAATGTCCTGCTCATCCATATGGCAAAGACTGCCAAAAGAAAGCAAGTGGTGTCTCCCTCCATTAGTATTGAAGCACCACAAAACCTTGCCTTGGCATGTTTGGAAGAAGAAGAAGAAGTCTCTGACCATGGAGAACTTCAAAGGAAGAAAAAGAGAAAGATCAACTCTCCATCAACATCTAGAAATGTCAATCCGGATGAGTTGAAGGAGAAGGAAACTGCTGAGGAAACCTCTATTCAAAACCGGAGTCCTCAACAGTTTGAAGAAGAAACTCCTCAAGTCCCAAGCCTTCCAACCCCCTCATCTCAGCCTCATACAGATGATGCTGACAACAAATTCTGGCAGCTCTACTATAATTGGAGAGCTTGGAAAGTTGGAAATTCAGAAGAGCAACTGTTGGATTGGGACCAACAGCTGAAGAATGAGAAGATTATCAA